ATAAGAGAATTCATAAGCTCAGTAATTTAATGGAGCTTATTATAATTGGACAAATTTATAAATACTTATAATAATAATGATAATAATAATAATAGTAATAATAATAATAATAATAATAATGAATATAATAATATTATTAATAACAAATAATAAATAATAATATTATTAATAATAATAATAACAGTTCAGTTAATAATTGTACATGCGAGAAGAAAAATAAACGCTTCTGATTATTTCCGCACATTTCGAAGAACATTCCATCTCGTTCCTGCATTCAACTGTCGCTGCTAACACTGATTCGAAATAAGCAAAAAATGCCGGAGCGCATGATCCAATATTGTGGGGAGTCTATTGTGGGTTTGCCTAATGTACTGCAGCTCATCGCGTTAAAATATATAACTACATCTCATAAAATTTTTGGCCATGTTACTAATTTTTATGGTATTAACAGCCATATACATCTGTATCCAGAAGATCTGACTTCATTTGTGATTGTTTCGTCTTCAGCCGAATTCTGATAACCTTCAATACCAGTACCAGCGCTATCTTCGTTTGCATTCAATTTATAAAAATATTTGATATATGCATACATTTTAAAGAGATTATTAGATTGTCAGCTAGCTAATTATTTGTATCTCATCTGTATACTCAGGCACATATTACAATTTTTTTAGGTTTGGTGGCAAAAATGAAAACCGGCTTCCGGAGTTTCGCCTCGCGTTCACTTCCGTTTGAAAATTAGCCATGCCTTGTCACCATCCACTCGAACTAAATGTCTTCCCGACACTTCATTTAAATGCTCATGTTACTTGTTATTTGCTATGGATGTGAGTTAACATTTTTATGTGTTGCTTACCGCATCTAATACTAATGTTACGGGTCATTTACTATCGATGTGAGTCAGCATTTTTACGCTTACCGCATCTAAGTTTTTGTAAATAATCACGGTATTTTTTCCGCTTCGTAATTGGAATTGCAATGATTTAGATTTTAATCTCATAAGAATATTATTCTGAATGAAAATGGAAGATGCAACTATATGAACTATGAAGAATGTAATACCATGACTATAGAGCAAATATATATTATTTAAATCAGGTTGCTGCTTAAAAAATTTAGCCTGTTTATGTTAACGACAAAAAAAACACGAGTTTAACTGCGCATTTGGTTGTCGGTTGGATCATTCTTACAATGAATTTTTACAGAAACGTTAATACACTTAATTATTTGCGAATTTGAGCACTCATGAACCACGATCATGAACCACAATGTTTTGCGCGAACTCAACTGAAAAGTTCCCACCATGAAAATTGTTTAGTTTCGAGGCCATCTTTCACGACGACTTCTCTGACGTAACTTGAGTGCTGAGTTTGATAACGAAATTTTGGTTCCGGAAAAGAATTTCCTGAGCCGGAACATTTGCTTGCCCTTTTACAAAAATTTTAGGATCTTTGATTGAAATTATCATCTAAAATAGGCCAAGGGCACTGAAATCAATTAGTCTTTGTTATTATAAATTTCATTGCAGTTCTAAATCATTTCATGTATCATTAGTGAAAAAAATTCAAACTGATATTATTGCAGAATATTCAGTTAAAAAATTTGTGAGCCGGTTATATATATTTTTAAAGTGAGCGAGCAATTGCGCAGCCATCTTGTGTTCGTAAAAATTGTACTTAGGTTCAATAAAAAGATTACTTTATTCTTATCGTCTGTGATGCACGTTGGCAGGCACGGGCTAGAAAATTATGATTTCTTTTCATAGTCTCTAATTTTAATTTAGTTGAGAGTTTTTGTAAATAAAGAACAAATGGTACTGGTAGTGAAAAATGAACATTAAAAAGGGATTTCAATGATAAAAATTTAGCAAAAAAATTAAATTTCGAAGTATTATTATATTGAATGAAGTAATAAGTAGCATATTAAACGTTAATAGGCATGCAGAAAAACACCATGAATATAGGTAACGCTTATATATCCTATCTACTACGTACCCTATCCAATTAACCCTACGCATAAATTTCATTGCAATTAAACACAATATTTCTTTCTTATTAGCTATAAATTTGCCGGCGTTTATGCGGCTTGATCTTAAAAAAAGTATGGGTAAGAATTTGGCCGAACGGCCACAACGATTCACTGACTTATTTAATTCATACATGCATGTCCTGCAACTCTATCGTTACAGAACATATTTTTAATCACAGAACATATTTTGTTTAATTAAGCAAGCAACTCGAAGTTCAGTGAATCCTTAAGCAAATTCCTTCCCATGAGAGCTTCAGCTCTCGCTTGTTTTAGTAGCGGCGCCTGCGTGGCTTGAAATGTGTGAATTCATCATGTGTGGACTCATCATGCGTGGACTGTCATGCGTGGACTGTCATGCGTGGACTCATCATGCGTGGACTCATCATGCGTGGACTCATCATGCGTGGACTCATCATGCGTGGACTCATCATGCGTGGACTCATCATGCGTGGACTCGTAACGCGTTTCCTTGTGCTCCACGAATTAATGGGATCGAAGCGGCAAAATTGTTGCGACCCACGCGCACGCTTCCAAATCATTTATATTGTAACAGTTTTGAAATAATTTTTTGCCTGTTTTAAATAAATTCACTCGTGAGCCATATGGTCTCACAGCTCCGTTTCTTGTACACATGTCAATTGAAATATGACCTTTGTCTAACATTTGCATTTGTAGCTCTCGTTTTTTTGAATTACTGAACTCAATGAACAAAAAAAAATGAATGAACAAAAAATGAAATAAAACACTAATAATTATTCAAACAAATCATTTATAAAATCTAAAAATAGCAATTAAAAAGATAATGATTTATTAAAATTCCTTTCTGCATGTATATAGTACGACAATTTTTATTACATTTAAGTGTATGTTTCAGTACGAGGGTACGTACCACATGTAATATCTTATTTGTATATTGTATGTAGTAGCTATGGTTGCGTATATAATATTTGGTACATGGATGAAGCCATTGAATTGCTTGGAAGATTGATGAACTTACCAAATTTGGTGGCACTTTTATTGCGTCGAAAGGAACATTTGACCATACATGTTGCCAATGCTTGACTTTAGCTAAAATTAGTCAATGTTTAGACGATACACTCATCATACTGAACGCTTATTTGATCATCGTGAACTGAACTTCGAAAATATTTAGCACGCGATATCAACGTTGTGTAATAATTTAGTAGCATTGTTCCTACGTGAACAAAATATGGTTACAAGCACATATAGGGATCGATAGAGAAAATTCCCTTCTAATGAACTACGTACAGGGAAATAGGGTCTGCCTGTATGCAGGCTTGCTTGTACGTCATGGCCAAGAGCTGTAAAATTTGAGAATTTATTGCGGTGCAGAAGAGCCTCCGATTATAATTGTATCCTGTTTGTCAGTTCTTCAGTGTAGTTCACTTAATAATTCTTACGCAAAGGGATTTACTGCTTGAAAGTTTGAGAATATATACTGTATGTCTCATGTCACAAATGTAAAACTTCAAAATAGGGTATTTTCATGTAACAGGTGAGTAAATATGAGGATAACTATAGTTATTCTCATAAATACTAACCTATTACATGTAGTTACATTTATACTCACCTATTACATATACTCACCTATTAGTGATACGACAAGAAATAAATTTTCGATCGTTGTGCTATTTTTTTCCTTTTAAACAAGTTCGATTGAATTAGTACTGTATAATCACTTTTTTATTGCATGTATTTGTCAAGATATAGAACAAAATTATTTCAAGTGAGCTAACCATGTCTCTATAAATGAGTAGGAATTTAAGAGTTTTCCTATATATAATTTTTCGTGGTCTCCCAGTTTAATTTTGAATTTCTCAATATGAACAATAATTTCTTACATATTGTGCTGTTGTTTCATGTTCATTTAGAAATGCTGTAACTCTTGGAACTTTCTCTTCAACATAAGTCATCAGTATATAGTATGTTGGTACAAGAGTTAAACTAATGACGTACGTAGCTACAGTGAACCTTTACGAAACTATGACGCGGCGTTTGAGATACGCTACGTATATATAAATCTTATATTGATGCACGATTCCTCTCTAACAGCATATATTTTTCTCGATCCGCAGATGGAATTCATCATATACTTAATTGGCTTCTATTTTCTCTTTAGCACATTGGAGAAAAGTTTGAACATGAACAATTAAGGTCTTGATCAATCAATTTTTCCTGTATTTTTGCCGTTGTATAATAATCATCATTATCATGAATGGCTATTTACTGTCATGCATCGTGCGATTTGTTCAATCGAGTTCCTTGATATTGATTATTTTTCACGGCATATAGAAAAGACTTTAATCGTCTTAGCAATCTTCAACATATAATCAGAAGGCAGTAGCGTAAATATTTTTATCCGCATTTTTATTGTAATCGCCAAGTACGATTATAATGTAGTATTTATCACATTAAGAATTGTTCATAACATGGAAGATATTAACATCTACGTGCATCGAAATCAACTGGTAAAGTCAGGTTGCCACGCGGTTACTCGAGTTATTTGATTAGAATTTACCTTAGCTTATTTTTTCCAACAATTAATCTATGTATAATCTTGATCTTATGATATAAAATGATTTCTTAAGCACAGACTTATATTTATTTATTTATTTTAGTTCCAATGCATGAAAATTGGTGATGCAAGGGGAGATATTTTGAGAAATTAGGGTGAAAATTGGAAGTTCCTCCTTGGCAGCCTGCCGGTTACATTACAGTTTTCTTTATCGCGGCCATAATTGTGAACCAAAAAACATTGATAAAATATTGAATTTACAAATTAACACCTATTACTCAAATATTCATGTAAAACATCCCAAGGAAATATCGGAAAAAGGAGGAGCGAGGCTGGCTATTAGGGAGGAGTTCTAGAGATATCAAAGTCAGCTCCGCCTTACCGACGTCGTCACGTCAGTTCGGCTGACATGACTTCACAAAAGTTCTGACGTCGGGACAGTGAACTCGTCTTGTGTGTGTGCTCCGCCAGTGCTGTGATTGCGACTGTAATGTACTGATTGTACCCTCATAACATAAGTGAATTTTAAGCTTTTTAAATATGTGAGTTAAATTAGAACTGAAACCTGTATTTCGTGTATGAAGAGCATAAGAGAGAAAGGTGCCCATGTAGAAGTTTTAATTTAATCACTCATTTTTAATTTTCAATAAACTGAGCTGGGCTGGAAACCATAAAATTTTGTTGACTTGATAAATTGTTAGTGGTGGATAAATTGTTGACTTGATAAATTGTTGTTAGTGATTGTCTTGAGTTATTATTTGCACTATTTAACTGAATATGTTCGAGACGGAGCGAGATGAGAGTAAAGTAAGACATGAACTGAACATGTACCAGAGCACTGCAGCACAATATTTCGACCCTACCTACCAAGCCCACGCCATGCATAGACACGCATACTCTTCTTACTACAGCCCCGGCGACCAATACTTTTCCTCCATTCCCAACCTACCACGCAGTGAGAATTCACCTCCGTTATCAGTAACCTCTCAAACCCCGTCAACTTCATCGCCTGCAACATCGGCACACACTTCTTCCCCGGTGGTGCTGGGACACAGAGCTCTGCCGACACCTCCACATCTCTCCCCTGACACGTCGCCGGCCATGCCCGCCACTTCCCGATCCAGATCCGAACACCCAGGACACTTCGGGTACCCTGGACAAGGTATAAATTCTGCAACTTTGCCAGCTTCTGGGCATGAATTCATGGCAAACAGTGTGGCAGCATCACTGTATCCCACAAACCATCATCACCATCATCCAGGGATATACGGATTAGGACCAAGAGATGGTTTGCCCAACCTCCCTTCATCCGTCCAGCAACAGGGGTTGGACGTCCAGAGAACTCCAGTTCGACAAGATTATCACTGGATGAAGAAAGAACCGTCTTCTGCTGGTGTGTAAATCCTTGATCGTTTGAACAATATAATTTGAGAGGTATTTTGCAAATACTAAGAAATTTAGACTTCCGGAAGACTCTTGACCTCTAACGCTTTTAATATTTTTCAAAATTTAAGTGAACATTTACCGGATGTCCATTCAATCGATAATGAAACATCTGATTAGGATCTAGTCTGCTTGCTCGACTAACTGTTCCTATATAGATAACCAAACAGGTATATTTTTTTTAGTTCATCCTTGGTGTCGAAGCTGTGAATTATGTCAAAGAGAAATTCGCAGCTGGCGCTCCCAACCTTCAGTCGGTCGCTTTATCTAAAATTTGAGAGATTAGACTGAAGTAGTGAAGAAATATTAATGTCAATTTACTATGTTGATTTTCTTGAATATTACGAATAATTTAAAGTAACTAAACTAAATTCTTAACCATTTTCTCGAATAATCTAGGATTTATGTTTCAGCCTATAATGTGGCAAAAATAACTCTTATTTCCATCGACACAATTAACACCATTTATTTAGGTTCCCAATCTGAAATGAATATCGAAACTCATGATTTCGGTGGTCACGCTTTATCTTCCATGCAACTCTAACGCAATGAATTATATTCGAAATGGAAAGCCGAAATCCGAATTTGCTACAAATTAATCGTACAAACGAAGTGGAGAATTTAATTTAAAGAATGTGCATGAAACATAGCGCAGGAAAATATCTTTGTTCGTGAACATTTAAAGGTGTAAGAAGATATGCATGGGTTGAGAAAAATTTTATCAATGCTAAATTTATAACAATACTATTATTTTTAACTACTGATTATTAAATTATTTATTAGTTATTAAATTTAATTGGTGAGACTAAAATTTCACTAATTTGATCATCTTTCCTGGCGTGCAGTGTCCAGCTCCAGTCGCAGTCGTGGCGGGGAAGGTGAGTTAGTCGTCTAAATAGCTGGGCTAAGTTTTTCTTGACGGCTGGCAGTACTCCGCGAATTAAACAAACCCTAACAAAAATTAAGGTATGATAGACTCTGCGACAGACTCGCTTTCGTTCGAGTAAGGTTATTTTAACGTATAGGTCATTAAACCTTGAATCAAAATTTACATCTGGTCCTTACTTTAGTGCCAACAAATGGAGTTGAATTGAATTCAACAATTGGAGAACAACAACAACAATTCAACAACAACAAGAATTCAACCAATGGAGTTGAATTGAATAACGTCTTGTTTATTCTAATAGCTGTTAAATTCGAATAGTCTTAATTATTATGAATTTTACGTAATTAGTTTATGAAGTTAAATTATTATAAGCACCATCAAAACGTAATTCCGTTTATTTATTTTCTGCCGTTCGATTATAGGCCCTTTGCGTTGTTATTAAGGGTCGTTTCATTCCATTGTTGGATACTTTTTATCGATTTTCCTCGCTAGTATTCAGTAGAACTAATTTGTTTGCTCACACTGTCTTTCTGGTATGATTCTTAGTATTTTTTTTTAACTGTTTCCTCTCTGAAATACTTGTATTAAATGTCCTAATCATCGTTCTCTATTACTTTTTTCATCATGCAACCAAACGTTTCGAATTTATGATTGACAGGCAATGATTAAACTGACTTGCTACTTGATAAAAAAAAATTCTAAACTTTCAAAATATTTCAAACTTCCACAATATTCCAAATTGTCCTATTATTCCAAATGTCATATTATTTCAAATTGTAATAATATTTAAAATTGTCATAGTATTTTAAGTTGTCATAGTATTTCAAATTGCCATAATATTTCAAATTGTAATAATATTTTAAATTGTCATAATATTTTAAATTTTCATTTTAAATCAAACAACTGTTTCGAAAAAAGCCCAAAATAAGATTTTTGGCGCGAGTTCTCCGGAACGATATCTTGGGAAGCTAATCGGCCTATAGCATTTCAAAGTAGATAAAAACTCTCGTCAATTCGATTGGTAGAAAACTCTTATAAAAAGTGCCAGGCTGGAGATGTGGTTGAGGGTGAAAGAGCCGACTTGGCATGCAACTTAGGCCGTTTACCAGCGAGCCCGCAGGACTGCCCTCTTGGGTGCCATAAAGTTCCGTCTTCCAGATTTTCGGAGGGCAAAAAGATGAGGCTTGGAACCCCGCTTTTGGTGACTCCTCGATCTCGCTTCTGCCTCGCATTTCGCCTTTAATATCGCTTTAATTTACTAATATAAACCTATTCTTTGTTTAAACGCTAAATTATTTTTTTAAACAAAGAGATATTAAACAGGTCGTCACAAATAATTCAATTTTTATCACTGTGAAATACGTCTTGAGTAGAGAGACCTCATGACGGACATCTAGGTGCATTCGTCGTGATTTAAAATCGATCATCTCTGGAAATGAAAACATTTTCCGTTGATCCCAAATGCCAAATAAGTATTTTTAGAATAATTTTTTTTTTCAGTTAGGAAAGAGTAATCTTATGTGGATGTTTCAAATAATACGTGCCCAATTCTCATTGAGACCTCCATTTGACAAACTTCAACGCTGACATCTATCACATCGCCTCATTCTAGACACAGCATTGAATTTCTTCTCCCATTATTATATATTCTTACTCCCGTTTCACTCTTATTTCCCCCAATTTGTTTCGCCACTATTGAAGGCCACAGCGGCTCCATCGCTCATTTCCCACCAAATGCTATTAAAAGTTTTCTCAGCTCGAGCATTTCTCCGACATGTTCCAGCACATCATTTGTTTTTGTTCCAATACCAAATGCTCGTATCATCACTAGCATCTTGCATCACCAATTTTAATTCCTTATCAGGAGATTCGTCCATCACCCTCATTAGCTCCTCATCAATTCTTCATCACTAAGCATTAATCCTCATTAACTCATCAACAGCTCCTCTCATAAATAGCTTCATTCAATCAACACCAGCTCCTCTTCTTTCCCAACAGCTTACTCTCATTAACTTATCACCAGCTCATCTTATCATTAGCTTAATTTCTCGTTAACTCATCACCAGCACCCTCTTCTCCAGCTCCTCTAATCACTAGTCTGTTCTTTTCCTACTTAATTGTCTAATCACTAATTAGCTTAATTCCTCATTAACTCATCACCAGCTCCCTATATTCTCCAGCTCTTCTAATCACTAGTCGTTCTTTTCCTACTTAATTGCCTACCCACTGTTCTCTGCATAAGCGCTCTTCTTCGTGTTCGTACGAATTCATTGACTCGAGAGCTGTTGCACATCCTTATTGTTGCGTTAGGGTGGCGTTATTGTAGTTTCATTGCCGTGATATTGTTAATGCGTCCCCAGTTGCCGCTCACATAAATAAAGGTCCTTGGGCGAATGGCCTGCGCTGGAGGAGTGACGGAATAGAGCACGAGGGCGTGCGTGGAACAAATGCTGCTCAATTTCTGGAGCAGCGCATGAACAAATATTTGGTCGTACGTTTGGTGGTGCAGGCAAGTGAGATGGTTGTCGTACAAGCAAGTGTGCCGTGGTTGCCGTACAAGCAAGTGTGCCGTGGTTGCCGTACAAGCAAGTGTGCCGTGGTTGTCGTACAAGCAAGTGTGCCGTGGTTGCCGTACAAGCAAGTGTGCCGTGGTTGTCGTTCGTGGTTGTCGTACGAGCAAGTGTGCCGTGGTTGTCGTACGAGCAAGTGTGTCGTGGTTGTCGTGCAAGCAAGCTTACCACAGTCGCTGTTTCCGTTATAATCTTCGAGTATTTTGCTGATCGAATGATTAGCTCAGATTAGTATTTTTTTCTAAATTCTGACGTCAGATTGGAAATTATAAGTTAATCATTCCATTTTTCGTATTTTCATTACTTAAAAGAAGGATAAAACTTTATTCAAAATTGCAAAGAAAGCATTAACACAAAAACGCTACTGCTACGATTTTCTGAAATAGAGATAATTTTTCAAATCTATACATAACATTAAATTGTTCCTGTACACATGCATCCCCAGAATGTCGCCGAGGAAATGAAAATTCGATTAACTTTCTTTTCCATTCAAACGTCGTAATTCAAGTTCTTGGTCAGTCTGCCCCTTCAGTTAATTTGTCGGCAGCCCAAGAGCCTATTTTCCTCAGATTGTGTTCCTTATCTGCAATCTAGAGAACTAATTGATGACCTCCGCGATAAGCCTCTGGTATAATAAATATATAAAGAAGGAAGAAAGGGAAACCCGACGCGGAACGTTTGTCGGAACCGAGGACCATTCTTCCTCTCATCACTATTTTAATTAATTTCCCCTAAATGATCAACTATTGGTCATCTGAAACAATTTGCCACTGAATTTGAACAGGCAATCTAAATGAACAACTGTATGCGCGTGTATAACAGTGCATGTCTATATAAAGACATTTTAATTGCTCTCAGTCAGGGAAGAATGTATATTGACAGTTGGACATCTATTGAGGACCTCCGTGCCAGAATGGAAACGGTGACACGTTACTCCACATGCTTGAGGTTAGCGTCACTAATTGATTTTATGGTGCCGTCTATCTCCTTAGGACTTATTTCTAACCACTATTAGACACGGCTTTCGGCGAGACGTGATCCCAGCTGCCTGACCTAAAGCACTTACCACAAAACATCGACTAAGAGTTCCCAATGAGTGGTAATTCGGCCAGAAGTGGCCCGTTTCTTGGTCGCATGTTCACCGAAAAGGGCCGTTACTGTGACGGGTTCCAAATTTATTTTTCACCAAGCTCTTCTAGGAGCCGTGGGAGACACGCTGGTCCTGACAGTTTTATTCGAAGATGGTGGTTTATTCCACTATCTGTTGTTTAATATACATTAAAGTTACATGCGCTTTTTGCAAAACCAACCAATGCCATGTCTTCTAATTGGATTGTTCAGTTCATGTAAAGACATGGCACATGCCACATGAACATCTTGCGCTGAAAACTTCATTATCTCCTGTTTGTGCCTTACGGCTTTTGGCCCCTAACGGCACTTTTGTATACATAACGATCGTGTCATTGTTGGAAACGGGGGCAACGCTAAACGGGAAAGAATAATACTGTCCGAGTCAATCTTCATCTCATGCGATTTAACTATACTTGGAATGCAAATAACTGTACGTCTCTGGGTCAATAGAAGCTTCTCCGTGTAAATTCTACATTTGTTGTGTTTTAAGAAGAAACTAGGTATATATATTGCTAAATATACATGCATGCTAGTTCAGCTCCGTCTCCTCTGGACATGAACTTACTTGGTCATTTTGATACCGTCACACACGAGATGTCATCTTGACTAACGCTGGTGTTTGTGAAGTTTTTCTCTGCAGTCGTTTATTGTTGACTTGATAATTATCTTGTGCTATAGTTTACGTGGGATCCGCAGGCCTCAAGAAGAGTTATTTTCTGTCCTTTTGTCTAATATTTATCAAATAATTATATATATAATTATTATACATCCATATTTTTTTATTCAAAATGACTTTTTCAGCCATTGGTGTTGATATTCAGATTAAACGAAGGAAATTACTGATCCCTGAAATCTGTGACCAAAATGAGCATTAGCATCCATTAATGATCCTCCCAGGAGAGTTCCTATACAATCCCTGCCAATACCTGGACACCACAAATGCGTGTCATTTGTTTATGGCTCACACCACTCACCTTTTGTCAAGCTGTGTGTTTCTGTGCCTGCCCGCACCTCTAACTATTCAGGCAATAAGTGTGTGGACGCGTGCCATTGAAATTTATTACTCAGTACCTGCGGAGGTTATTAGTGGAACTTCTGCAGAACACCATACCCTGGCCACACCTGTTTATGGCCGCTAACCTCAACAGGACGAGTGCTGCTCTAGTGTGTCATCCTGACAGTTGTGGGCCACACATCTGTCAGAAATCGACTATCGTGAAATGCAGATGAGGTGAAGTGATAGCGAGTTTGATGTCAAAATCATAAGCAAGTTAATAAATTGTAAATTTCA